TTCGTTTCCTTTGTAGGGACATGGATGAACCTGGAAACCGTCATTCTCAGCCAACCGACACAAGAACAGAAAATCAAATACCACATGTTCTCACTCATAGGCAGGTGTTGAACAATGATAACACATGGGCACAGGGAGGGGAGCACTACACACTGGGGTCAGTTGGGGGGAAATAGGAGAGGGACAGCGGGGGGTGGGGAGTTGGGGAGAGAGAGCATGGGGAGAAATGCCAGATATAGGTGACGGGGAGGAAGGCGGCAAATCACACTGCCATGTGTGTACCTATGCAACAATCTTGCAGGTTCTTCACATGTACCCCATAAACCTAAAATGCAATTAAAAAAAAAAAAAAAACCCTGAATTTAAGAGACACATACCAAAATTCAGGATAATGGTTAGCAGGGGAGGGGCTGTGTGGAATGGAGGGACTGGGCTTAAATGGTATCTTCATGGTTTATAACAACAACATTTGATCAAGAAAAATAGGGTGCAATGCTAATTTGTTATAGCTGAATGGTGGTCACAGGGGTCTCATGTTACTCTGTATTATATTTTTGAAATAAAATTTAAAAATAAGAAAAAAAAGTGCCTAGAAATCACTGAACACCTGTTAGTGTAAGATTGTACTAAGAAACAGTACACACATCATTAATTCGCATATTTTCCCATCAAAATATTAAGGTGACAAATTGGAAGTTGTCTTAATCTAGAGAAAAACATATGTATAATTTTGCATCCTGATACTCAATAGGGTCTCTTATCCTTACTCTGACATGTATATTGAGTCATTCTTTTTTGCCAAGCCAACAGAGTAGTTTCTCCAGGCCATTCTTTTCTTACCAGTAATAGCAGTTGCTGCTTTTAAAACATTTTAAAAAGCAGGAATTGGATCTTTCTTGAATTGGATCTTTAACACATAAGCCATTGCTTTTCATTGAGAAATTTATTTCCAGTTCCGATAGTTGTGATATCGAATAGGAATAAACTAATACCAAGGACAAGGCCAGCAAATTCATAGCCCTTGTTTATGGCAGACATTATACAATAAACCCAGCATGCACTACCCTTTGAGTCTGGTTAAGGTCCTAGAAATCCTTAACACAAGATTGCAGACAATCTTCTACCAACTGGAATTTTTTTTTTTAATTCTTGTTCTAGAACTTGCTCTTTAAGTCTCAGATGTTATCTTTTTGGACATTTGCCTCATTCTCAAAAGAAAAACGTGGCTTGGCTGAGGGCTGTTTTTTTTTTTTTTTTTAAGATAGGGTCTTGCTTTGTCACCCAGGCTGGAGTACAGTGGGGCAATCATGGCTCACTGCAGCCTCGATCTCCCAGGCTCACGTGATCCTCACACCTCTGCCCCCACCTCGACTAGCTGGGACTATAGGTGTGTGCCACCACACCTAATTTTATTTTCTATTCTTTATAGAGAAGGTTTCACCAAGTTGCTCAGGCTGGTAACTCTTGAGCAACCCTCTGTCTAGGTCTCTTAAACTGCTGGGATTACAGGCCTCACGTGAGCCACCATGCCCAGGACTACCTTTTCACTGAATTAATTAGTAAATCAAAATAGCCTTCTCTCAAGTACCTTTCTCACCTCCCAGAAAATCTTTCCCTTCAGAATCTGCAGAAGGCCTCCAGGAGCTTGTTATGCCTCCATAAAAGGAGATAATCAGCTGCTTGAGAAATGCTGAAGATCATTCTTTCATGTCTCCTGGAACCTATTTAATCTTCTACAATCTGTTGATTAGAATAAAAATTAGAAAGGATTTTAAACTACACAAATGCTATATAAAAAAATCTATATATAACAAATGCTATATGTATCAGGTAAGAATTTAGGAAAAACAAAGCAAGACACCGGTCTTAGTCTACTGTAACAAAAATACCATAAACTAGGTGCCACGTAAACCACAGAAATTTATTTCTCATAGTTCTGGAGCCTGGGAAGTTCAAGATCAAGGTAGTATCTAGTGAGGGCATCCTCACAGAAGGTACCTTCTGGCTGTGTCCTCACATGGTGGAAGGAGCAAGGGAGCTCCCCCACCCTCTTAAAAGGGTGCTAATTCTTTTTTCCTTTACATTTCTTTGAATTAAAGGGCACTAATCCTTAAGGGTTCCTTCCACCATCATGACGCTTTCACCTTCCTAAGGCACCACTTATGAAGGTATTACATCATCTTGGGGGGGTCAGGGTTTCAACCTATGAATTTTGGTGGCACACATTCAGACCACAGTACCTCCCTTCGGGGAGGGGAGAAAGAAATTAAAAAAAACAAAACTTACAGAAGATACAAACCTGTGATAGAATTAATGCCAATCTTTAAAAATACTAACAAAATTGATAAACCCCTTGGCAAAACTTATCTATGGAGAAAAAAGACATGTCATGAATGAAAATAAAAACAAAAGCAAAACTAAACATCCTATAGATACCCAATATTATTCATGAACACATGAAAAATCCTAAAAAAAAAAAAAAAAAAAAAAATTTAGTTAACAAGTCAGTAACATAAAAAAGAAAAACATCAAGACCAAATTAGGTTTGGTTTATTTACTTCAGAAAGGCTAGACTGCTTTAACATTCAAAGGACAATGTAATTGCCATATTAACAATGAAGAAAAAATCATCCCCAAATATCAAAGAAATACTTTGTATAAAATCTGAGTATCTATTTGTTCAAGATATTTGAGAGCCTCCTAGAAACCTAGAAATAGAGGAACTTCCTTAATATTAGAAAGTTATCTACAAAAAAGCTATAGTAAACTTCATATTTAATATTTAACAGTAAAATGTTGAAAACTTTACCTATATTAGCAATGAAACAAAAATATCCCTACCATTGCTTTTATTCAACACTGTACTAGACTGGCAATCTTAGAAATGCAATACTATAAGAACAAAAAAGCTGTAAGATTCTAAAAGAAATAAAACTCATTCACAGATAATTACGTATATAAAAATAGACAGAATTAAGTTTAGAAAGGTTGCTGAATGCCAAGTCAAAACATAAAAGTTGTATTTATGTATCAGCAAACAAGATGTAACTTAAAACACTTTTTCGAAAGGCTTAAAAAAAGTATGGGCCTGGCATGGTAGCTCACACCTATAATCTCAGCACTTTGGGAGGCTGAGGTGGGTGGATTACTGGAGGTCGGGCGTTCAAGACCAGCCTGGCCAACATGGTGAAATCCATCTCTAGTAAAATTCCAAATTAGCTGGGCGTGGTGGCATGCACCTGTAATCCCAGCTACTTGGGAGGCTGAGGCAGAAGAATCGCTTGAACCTGGGAGGCAGAGGTTGCAGTGAGCCGAGAATGTGCCATTGCACTCCAGCCTAGGCAGAAAGAGCCAAACTCCACCTCGAAAAAACGTATCAAATATCTGACCAACTCTAAAAATCAGTTCTCCCAAGTTGATCTATAGATCTGTTGGAATTCCAATAAAATCCCAACAGGCTTTTTTGTTGTTAGTGGCTTTCTGTGGAATAAATTGATTCTAAAATGTATATGGAAATGCAAAGTCCAAGAATAGACAAAATATTCCTGAAGAAAAAAAGGGTGGGACCATGTACTAATATTATAGGAAACATTAATATTACAATAACAGTCTGGTATTGGCATAAATAAAACCTTTAAGACTAGTAAGAATAAACAGCAGAAATAGACATACATATATAGGGGCACAAATTATGACAAAGATCCCCAGGAGGATGCCTGAAACCAGACAGTACTGAACTTGATTGCTCTCAATCGGAACGTTTCTGTGCATGTCTTCTGCCCACAAATTTAATGCCTTTTCCATCTTAACTGAGCACTTATCACCCATTGTGACTACTCTGAATGGTGAGAATTTAAAACTTATGAATTCCTTACTTCCAGAAATTTCCATGTAATATTTTTGGTAACAAACTGTGGGAAACGAAATTGCAGGTAAGAATGGGGGGACTGCTGTACAAGATGATTTAGGCTCATCTTGTACATGCATTGCCCTATCCCTATAATGAGCCAGTTCTCCAGAGAGGCCCAGGTCCTTTTGCGGAGGAAAGTATTAGTAAGCAAAATCTGGCTGGGTGCGGTGGCTCACACCTATAATCCCAGCACCATGGGAGGACTGCTTGAGCTCAGGAGCTTAAGAAACTATGTCTCTACCAAAAATACACAGATTAACTGGGAGTGGTGGCACGCACCTGTAGTCCCAGCTACTCAGGGGACTGAGGTGGGAGGATCACTTGAACCTGGGAGGTTAAGGCTGCAGTGAGCCATGTTTGTACCACTGCACTTCAGCCTAGGGTGGGGAAAAAAGAAAGCAACCAACCAAGATCTGGGTGGTAGGTGTGCTCACTGTCATTGGGGTATTGTTGCTTTGAGATCTTCTCAGTGCACTTGCTTCTTGTATGTGTTAAATTAAACGAAAACAAAAAATCCACCCAATCAAGCCAACAGTATCAACAGCAAATCATGCTATATTTAAAATAGAAAAAGTTCCTGAAATACAACATATCTAAGACATACTGAAGTGAAGCAAGATGCAAAATAACTGCATATGTATTTAGTTAATCTAAAGTAATACACACTACATCCAAAGCAGGATAATGGGAAGCCTTTTCTTTTGGCAATCTCTATTTCTGTATATGAATTTTTTTAACATATATTATTTTTATGATAAAGTATAATTTAAAAAATCAGATTTAGTTGTATAAAATAAACTATTAAATAATTTTAATTGATGACAAAACCATTAAGCAAGCAAAATGCTAATTAAAATTTTTAAATAAAATTAAAAAAAATAAACAGAAGTGCAGAAAACAGCATTAAAATGTTTGCATAATTACACACATTTTAACACTTCCACATTCTTTTGGGAACCCAGGCTTTTAAATTTTGGAACCATGTTAACTTACAGGCAAATAAAATGAAAGCAGATTAATAGTTCTATGTATAATTACAATCTATAAAACAACTTGCCTAGAGTCTTATTGCTAGCAGTTGAATGATTTCTTAGAATCAGAACAATTTGAACAATGTTTTGCTTTTTAAAGTATCCAAGGATTATACAAGTAAAATGTGCGAACATTTCATTGTATTTACACAGAGTCATGGTCTCTGATCCACCAGCGTATGTATATTTACTAACCTTGGTTCTATAACCATATATTTTGTAAAGACTTTTGCCATATAGAACAAGTAAGGTGCATTTTAAATAAGCAAAAAATTAGAAAATAAGGCCAAATGTATCATCTACTCCAACTAGGCATTTTGTTAATGACATCAATTGCCAGTAAGAAGTTCCTAAAGCAGTACTACCAATATTTCCAAACAAAAAAATAAAATAGTGCAATTATTAAGTATAATTTTAAATCTGACAGATGAACATTTAATTTTATTTTCAAAAAGATTAAACATTAAGCTATAGAATTCTGCTCTACGGAAATGCAAATAGGATAATATTAATCCTTACCATCTTTTCTTGTTACAAAAAATAAATTCTAAACATTTTCCAAAGATACTCAAACTGACTTAGTACAGATGAGTGCCTACCAAGTAAAGACTTCATATAGAAAAGTCAGGAATGATGCTGGGCACGGTGGGCCATGACTGTAATCCCAGCACTTTTGGAGGATCGCTTGAGCCCAAAAGTTCCAGCTTGGAAAACATAATGAGACCCCTGCCTCTATTAAAAAAAAACATTCAGGAATTCCTTTTACAAATTGAGCATAGAAATTACTTGCCCAAGTGTAAATTTGCCTCTTTGCTTCTGATGGGGCATTAGATAATCCTGGTCTAACAGTGTGTTTTATAGAAGACCAGGTCACATTTCTAGACAAAAATCACTTTCCTTTGTCAATGCTCTTACATAACAGTCAAGTAATTTTCCAGTTATACCTACAAAATTTCAGAGTGTAATTGTAATTAACAATTCAGAGTGCTAATCAGTAAATCACCCGAAGATTTTTCCTTCCTTTGAATCCCAGATAATTTTCAACAAATTTAATTCCTGACTTTTCAACTCATAAGGAACAAAACTGTGATATGTGTGTATGTGTGTCTGTGTGCATAACTGAGTTTTGGTATTTTTTTTAATATTAAAAGTTTGTATTTTATAATAAAGTTCTCTCTGAACTTATCCAGATAGTAACTGCTTTATAACTGAAATCAGCTTTAACTATTAAAATTATACACAAGAAAATTAGGTGTGTTGCAGTACTTGGTTGCAAATAACTTGCCATCTGGTGTCGGGTCAGAAAATGCTATTTCATCAGTGCTCAGAAAACAGCCAAACATGAAGCAATTCCTAAAAGAGGAAAAGATGATTTAATAATGGAAGCAACTTAACATTCTAATTTACATGAGCAGTTTAATACTCTTGACTTAAAGCAAACTTATTTTTAGTAAGTGAAAAAATGCCTTATATTTTAGAGAAAGAAGTCTAATGATATCATTTCAAAGACGAGAAAACTAAGGTCCAGAAAAAATTCTGCTGAGAGGCAAAGGGAACCATCCACCTAACTCTAGGATATCCGTGGTAAAGAGCAACTAATATAAGATCATATTGCTAATTAAAAGTACAGATAATTAGAACAAACAAAAAAATCACCAATTTTAACCAGTAACTATATTTTCTTCAAAGAAAACATGCACTCAGAGTTTTAAGAAGGCAAAAATCATTTGCATTTTGACTAAACTCTCCTTGATCTTGCCCACCTTAGGATTAAAAGTAACAAGGAAATGGTTAATTTAACATCTCCCACAACTTGTTTATGAAAGAAAAAAAAAAAAGAGAATCAAAATTGAGGGATATTGTATAAAATAACTGGCCTGCACTCTTCAAATTCTTCAATGTCAAAAGGTTAAGAAACTTTTCCAGATTAGGGAAAACAAAGACTAAAGAGATGTGACAACTAAATGCAGTATGAGTCACTGGGCAGAAAAAAAAAAATGCCACGAAGGACATTTGAGACAACACACAAAAGTGAAATATGGACTGTCAGATAAAAGCATTATATCAATATTACATTTCCCAAATGTGATAACTGTATCAAATATAATATATTCTTGTTCTCAAGAAATACACACTGATGCATGAAGGGGTAAAGGGGCATAATATATGTAACTTACTTTGAAATAATTCAGAAAGCTTATCTAAACACAGAATGGTAAAGCAAATGAGGTAAATGTTGAACTGAATGGATCTTGACAAAGTCTTACTATTCTTGCTGCTCTTTTGTAAGTTTGAAATTATTTCAGAATAAAAAATTAAAGAATTTGATTCAATTAGAAGACATAACCTTCTAATTATTAACTATAATTAAATACATAATATGGTACAACTAGGTTACATACTGGTACTCCTCATACCAAATTTATGTATCTATTTAATATAAAACATAGAAAAGAAGTATTTTAGCCAGGCACAGTGGCTCATGCCTGTAATCCCTATACTTTGGGAGGCTAAGGTGAGCAGATCACCTGAGGTAAGGAGTTCAAGACCAGCCTGACCAATATGGAGAAACCTCATCTCTACTAAAAATACAAAATTAGCTGGGCATGGTGGCGAATGTCTGTAATCCCAGCTACTCAGGAGGCTGAGGCAGGAGAATTGCATGAACCCGGGAGGCGGAGGTTGTGGTGAGCCAAGATCGTGCCATTGCACTCCAGTCTGGGCAACAATAGTGAAGCTCCATCTCAGAAAAAAAAAAAAAAAAAAAAAAAAGTGTTTCATAACTAATTGTCAAATAAAAATCTTTTTAAGATCTCATTTTTTCCTACTGATCTCCCCCTTGGTAAGTATGTGTGGTTGACTATGGCCCAAGATTGGGTTCCCATAGTGGTCTTGGTATTCATTCTTTAAAAGTGGCACAGAATGCAAGAGGCTTGAATAACACTATTCCAAGTGAGGTTATCAGTTTGTACATTATCTGTCCACAATGAAATATATGTAGAAGTTGAGAGAATAAGTCTTGTGAAACTCATTCATATAACCTGTATTATGTAAATTGGCAAACAAGCTCATTTGTGATATTGGAAACTTTAAACCGCAATGGTGTTAGTTCAATTGTGCACATGGGAGCTAAAAATGAAGACTAACGTTTTTGGTTGAGATATAACTCATATACCATAAGCCTCACCCTTTAAAAGTGTACAACTGAGTAGTCTTGTGTATGTTAACAAATACTGTCCAATCATCACCACTATCTAATTCTAGAACATTTTTATTATTCCAAACCCTGTACTCATTATTAGTTGCTATCCATTCACCTTTCTTCAGTCCCTGAAAACTACACATCTACTTTCTGCCTCTGGATTTGCCTGCCTCTTCTGGACATTTTATATAAATTAATTACACAATGTGTGATCTTTTGCAACTGACTTATTTCAATTAACATAATGTTTTCAAGGTTCCTCCACGTTGTAGTGTGAGCCAGAATTTCCTTTACGGCTTGATAATATCCGGTTGTTATTACTCTATCGATACACCACATTTATTCATTAATCACATATTGGATTATTTATCCTTTGGCTTTTATAAATAATGCTGCTATGAACCTTCATGTACAAGGTTTTGTGGGGATGTGTTTTCTTGAGTATACACCCAGGAGTGGAACTACTAGGTCACATTAACAGTTTAACTCTGAAAAATTGTCAGATTGTATTCCACACCAACTGTACCAGTTTACATTCCTACCAGCAATGTACAAGGGTTTCAGTATCCTCTACAACTTCACCAACACTTGTCTGTTTTTTTATTACAGTCATCCTACTGGGTATAAAGTGGCATCACACTGTGGTTTTGTTTTGTGATTTCCCTGATACCTAAAGATGTTGAGCATCTTTTTATGTTGAATTAACCATTTGCAATTCATCTTTAGAGACATGTCTACTGAAATTCTTTGTCCATTTTTAAATTAAGTTCATTTAATTGTGTCCTAAGAATTATTTTATGGGTATCAGACCCTCCTTTGACAAATGATTTCTAACTATTTTCTCTTGTTCTATGGATTGTCTCACAAATCCAGTTTTTATTTAGTTATGCTTTTGAGTTATAGCAAGTCTTAATTACCTAGTCACTGTCAATGAACATGTACAGCTTCTGTAATTATGCAAACCTTTATTTTGTACAGGTTATATTTATTGAAGCATAATTTCAATCTGCTAAGTCTAATAAAAATTCAAGCTTATATTTTTTTTGTTTTTCCTTTTTTTCACTTCAAACTATGCTGTTTTTCCTTTTTTTTCTAGCAATCCATTTTTATTTTATTATTGTTGGTCTGTGACAAATTAAACTAGTCCTTTAGCACAGGTAGTTTGAAAAGCAGTGGGCCAGTATGTTTTAGACTTGGAATGTTGCGCCCAAGGCTGAGTACATCTAACATTGTTTTTCTAGTGCCAATACCTTCCTTAGCCTGACTTTGATAGTATTCATACAGAAGTATCTTACCAATATCCTTCCCTTTACAGCTCGGAGCCGAGAGATTCTAAGAAAGCTATGAACCTAAGGTTCTGCATCTAGATCCATTTTATTTCTTACCTGAGAGTATCAACCAGTCGTCTTGCAATGCGCTTTCTTCTCTTCAATCTGAAAACCCAGATTCTACTTATCCCACAGACTGCAGGTTCTGGTACATCTGAACATTGCCAAGCCCTAGGACATTCTTTAGAGTTTGGGGATTGCATACCAGTTGGTTCAGACAGGACACGAAAGGCCTGCAATGATATACAGAAGCATCTACAGCTAACAGCACAGATGAGCTCACAATGCTTTAAAAAAAAAATTCCTTAAACAAGTATCAAAAATTTAACTTTTATCTCCACCAAAAATGTTAATATTTTATATTTCTTAAATTCTTATCCATTTAGTCACACAATGCTTTATAAAAAATAGTTGAGACATTCACACATTCTAGTGCATCCCATACCATTATGAAACTTTCCCCTTTAACTTAAGCAATTGTTAAGCATTAGACTCTTCCTTTAATAAAGTATATAAACCTCTCTTTCTCTCCATCCTAAAATGTATATATGACAACCTAAAAAAACCAGTAACACTAAAGATTTATATCTATTAACTATGAAGTTTGGTTGGCATTTCAAGTTTCTTAAACATTTTTATTTTGAAATAGATTCATAAGAAGTTAAAAAAACACTACAGACGACCATGTATCCTTCCCTGAGTTATCCCCAATTATTACATCTTCCATAACTGGTATAATACCAAAACCATGAAATTAACATTGGTATAATGTGTGTGTATCATTCCATGACATTTAATCATACCTATATATTCATTCAACTATTATCACAATTAAAGTACAGAACTATTGAGTCACCACAAGTATCTTCTTGCTCATTATAGTCACATCCACACGATCCCCCTCTCCCATCCCCAATCCCTGACAACCACCAATTTATTCTCCATGACTATAATGAGAATGTTATGTTAAACAAATGAAATCATACACCATATGATCTCTTGAGATTGGCTTTTTTCCACTCAGCATAATGCCTTTGAGACTCGTAAATCAATTCTTTGTTCGTTTTTGCCACTCAGTAATATTCTATCATATGGATGTATCATAGCTTGTTTATCATTCACCTAAAGCATTTAAGGACACTTTGGTTGCTACCAGGTTTTGGCTATTACTAATAAAGCTGCTATTAACATTCTTGCATTCTTGTATAGGTTTTTGTGTGTACATCAGTTTTCATCTGTTTTTGTTAAATGCCCAAGAGAAAAACGGCTGGATCATATGGTAAATATAGTTTTTTGTTTTGTTTTAATTTTTTTTTTTAAGAGACAAAGTCTCACTCTGTTGTCCAGGCTGAGATGCAGTGGTACAATCTCAGCTCATTGCAACCTCCACCTCCTGGGTTCAAGCAATTCTCTGGCCTCAGCCACCCAAGTAGCTGGGATTAAGGCATGCACCACCACGCCCAGCTAATTCATTTGTTTTTAGTAGAGACTGGGTTTCGCCATGTTGGTCAGGTTGGTCTTGAACCCGACCTCAAGTGATCCGCCTGCCTCAGCCTCCCAAAAGGCTAGGATTATAGGCGTGAACCACTGTGCCTGGTCTATGTTTAGTTTTTTAAGAAACTTCAAAACTTTTTCTAGAGTGGCTATAACATTTTACATTTCTAATGACAATTTGTGTGAAAGCTCTAGTTTCCCCATATCCCTACCAGCATTTGGTATTGTCTCAATTTTTTATGTACTATATCTGTTCTGATAGGTATTTAGTTTTTAATTAACAACAAGAAAACATTGTTTCTGACCTGAGAGTAGAAGAGAAGAGTTAGCTGGCTGTATCTTGCCTATTAACAGGCACAAGAGTCTACTTCTTTGAGATCAAAGAAGGAAAAAGCCTTTTAAATAAATACACAAAGATGTAAACTGTAAAATTTGTAATACTAAAGGGAGAAAAAAGTACAGAGCTTTTGTAGGTGACAGAAATTATCAGCTTTAAATAAACTGGTATAAGATATTTTATGTAAGCCTCATGAGAACCATAAAGCAAAAACCTACAGTAGATATATAAAAGATAAATCAAAGCATACCACTACAGAAAAGCATCAAATCACAAAGGAAGACCACAAGAGAGTAACAAAGGAATATATATAAAACAACCAGAAAACAAAATGGCAATAGTAAATCTCTATTTATCAATAATTTCTTTTTTTTTTTTTTTGAGACGGAGTTTCACTCTTGTTACCCAGGCTGGAGTGCAATGGCGCGATCTCGGCTCACCGCAACCTCCGCCTCCCGGGTTTAGGCAATTCTCCTGCCTCAGCCTCCCGAGTAGCTGGGACTACAGGCGTGCGCCACCATGCCCAGCTAAATTTTGTAGTTTTAGTAGAGACGGGGTTTCACCATGTTGACCAGGATGGTCTCGATCTCTTGACCTCGTGATCCACCCGACTCGGCCTCCCAAAGTGCTGGGATTACAGGCTTGAGCCACCGCGCCCGGCCTATCAATAATTTCTTTAAATGAAAATGGATTATATTTGCCAATCAAAAGACACAGAGTGGCTAAATGGATTAAAAAACACAAGACTGAACTATATACTGCCTACAGAAGATTCACTTCACCTTTAAAGATACACACAGACTGGAAGTGAAGGGTCAGAAAAATATACTCCATGCAAATGGAAACCAAAAGAACAGGAAGTACCTACTCTTAAATCATACAAAATAGACTTTAAGTCCAAAACCATCACAAGAGACAAAGAAAGTAATTACATAATAAAAGGGTCAATTCATTAAGAAGATAAAACAGTTATAAATATATATCCACCTAACATTGGAGCACCGAAATATATAAAGGAAATATTTGGGAATCTGAAAGAATAAATAACATAAAATAGTAAGGGACTTCAATATCCCACTTTCAACAACAGATACATCATCCAGATAGAAAATCATTAAGAAAATGCTGAACTTTTTTTTCCTTTCTTAAGAGACAGGGTCTTACTTGCCCTGACCAGAGTGCAGTTGTGCGATCATAGCACGCTGCAGCCTTGAAGTCCTGGGCTCAAGCGATCTTCCTGCCTTAGCCTCCCAAGTACCTATGACTACAGGCATGTCCTGTGTGGCTCATTTTTTTGTAAAGACAGGGTCTCACTATGTTGCACAGCCTGTTTGTAAACTACTAGCCTCAAGCGATCCTCCTGTCTCAACCTCCCAAGTGTTGGGATTATAGGTGTGAGCCACGAAGTCCAGCCAGGAAACACTCAACTACACTTCAGACCTAATGGACCTAACAGACATACATACAGTATTTCATCCATTCGCAGCAGAATGCACATTCTTTTGAAATGCACACAGAACCTTCACAACAGTATAAAATTAGAGATCAATGACAGGAGAAAAAGTGGAAAACTGACAAATGTGAAACTTAAACCACACGCTCCTGAACAACCAATAGAGCAAAGAAAAGGGAAACTGACAAATTTCTTGAGACAAATGAAAATGGAAACACAACATACCAAAACGAATGGGGTGCAGCAAAAGCAGTTCTACATAAAAAAGATCTCAAATAACCTAACATTACAACTCAAAGAATTAGAAAAAGAATAAAGCCCAAAGTCAGTAGAAGGAAAAAAATAAAAATCAGTGGAGATAAACTGGGGGCTTGAAAAATAGAAAATATCAACAAAATTTATCTTTTGAAAGGTAATAAAATTGACAAACCTTTAGCTAGACTAAGAAAAAAAGACTCAACAGAATCACAAATAAAAGAGGAGACATTACAACTGATATCACAGAAGAACAAAGGATCGTAAGAGACCATGAATAATTATAAACCAACAAATTAGGTAATGTACAAGAAATATATAAATTCTAAGAAATAGATGAATAAAAACCTACCTATATCAAATCATGAAGAAAGAGAAAATCTCAACAAACCAATAAAAAGGAGATCAATTTAAAAAAATAACTTGCATCATAGGAAAGCCTCATCTGTGATGATGTCACTGTTAAATTCTACCAGGTATTTAAAGAATACTAATCCTTCTCAAACTCTTCCAAAAAACTGAAGAAGAATACCCTCAAAGTCATTTTACAAGGCCAGAATTAATTCGATAGCCAGAAAAGGAAGTTACAAGAAAAGTTACCTCCCAATATCCCTGATAAACAGATGCAAACTAGCACATTAAAAGAATAGTACACCATGATCCAGTGGACTTTATCCCTTGATGCAAGGATGGCTCAACACATGCATATCAGTGTACTACATCATATTAACAGAATGAAGGACAAAACATCTCAATACAGAAAAGGCATTCGACATCCTTTCAGGATAAAAACTCTCAATAAATTAGATATACATGGAATGTACCTCAATATACTAAAGGTCATATATCACAAGCTCACAGCTAACATCATATAAGCAATGAAAAGTTGAAAGCTTTTCCTCTTAGATCAGGAACAAGACAACGGTGCTAATTCTCATAATTTCTACTCTACATAGTTCTGGAATTCCTCACCAGAGCAATTAGGAAGAAAAAAAAGAAATAAAGGTGTTCAAATTGAAAGGAAAAAGTTAAGTAGTCTGTCTGCAAATGACATGAACTTAAACCCGAAAGACTCCACCAAAATAACTATCAGAAAAAACAAAATCAGCAAAGGTGCAGGATACAAAATCAACATAAAAAGTCAGTAGAATTTCTATACAGGAACAACAAACTACAAACTAAAAAAAGAAATCAAGAAGACAATCCATTTACAACAGCATTAAAAAAAACCACTTATGAATAAATTTAACTAAGGAGGTGAAAGATCCATACACTGAAAACTAGAAAACACTGATGAAAGAAGCTGAAGAATGTCCACATAAAGGGAAGGATACCCAGTGTTCGTGGCTTGGAAGATTTTATATTGTTAAAAAGTCCATACTACCCAAAGCAATCTACAAATGCAACATAATCCCTTTCAAAATTCCAAAATCATTTTTCACAAAAATATACAAAAAGAGTGCTAACATCCTATAGAACCATAAAAGATTACAGATAGCCAAAGTAATCTAGACAAAAAGAGTAAAGCTGAAGGTCATTACACTCCTACTGGTATTAAAACAGACATAGCAATCAATGGAACAAAACAGATAAAATAAAATCAGGCATTTAGAGTCAACTGGACTCTGACAAACATGCCAAGAACAAACAATGGGGCAAGGGCAGTCTCTTTGATAAATGATGTTGGGAAAAATGAATATCCAAAAACAGAAGAATAAAATTGGAGCCTTATCTTACACCACATAGAAAAATCAACTCAAAATGAATTAAAAACTTAAAATGAGGGACCTCAAATTGTAAAACTATAATGAAAAAAACAAGAAAAAAGCTTGACATTGGTCTGGGCCAATAATGTGGCTACGATCCCAATAGCATTGGCAATAAAAGAATAAAAAAAAGTGACGTCAAACTGAAAAGTTTCTGCATAGCACAAAGTGGGGAAAGAAAACCAACCAACCTACTGATTGATTGGAAAAAAATATTTGCATATACAACAGGGAATACATATCCAAAATACATAAATAACTCAATAGCAAGAAAACAAATACCTGAATAGATATTTCTGAAAAGACGTAAAAATGAAGAACAGACATGAAAAAATGCTCACTCATCATGACTATCCATCAGGGAAATGGACCTCACATCTGTCAGAATGATTACTATAAAAATACAACTACCATTTGCAGCAATCTCACTTCTGAGTGTATATACAAAGGAACTGAAATCAGTATGTCAAAGAGAAATCTGTACTCCCATGTTCATGGCAGCATTATTCATAGCCAAGATATAGAATCAACCTAAGTGTCCATCAGTGGATGAATAAAGAAAATGTGGTATATATACACATGGAATACCATTCAGCCTCTCAAGAAAGGAAATCCTGACATTTGCAACATGAATGAACCTGGAGGACATTATGCTAAGTGAAATTAGCTAGGCAAGAAAGAAAAATAGTGCAAGATCTCACTTACATATGTAATCTACAAAAGTTGACTTGAGAGCAGAGAGTAGAATGGTGGTTGCCAGAGGCTGGGGCAGTGAGAGATGGGAGAAATGGGAAATGTTGGTAAAGGGTCAAAGTTTCAAGATGAATAAGTTCTGCAGATCTATTGTGCGGCATGATGACTATAGCTAATATATGCTTAAAAATTGCTAGGAGAGATCTAAATGTTCTCATCACAGTAAGTTGATAAGTATGTGAGGTGATAGATATGCTAGCTTGATTTAGTCATTTTGCAATGTCTACCTGTATCAAAATATCACATTGTACACTGTAAATAACTGCAATTTTTATTTGTCAGTTATACCTTAATAAAGCTAACAGGAAAGGAAAAGGCCAAATTGATCACTTATACTGGCAAAAATGCAAACAGGCTGCTTCTCTCTCCCAGCTTCTAGTAACACAAGGAGAAACCATATGTCTTCTAGAAAATTGCTAATTAGTACCTAAATTAGAATGTAATTAAGGGATAAGTAATGACTACTTTGCCAAAAATATTAACCTTCACTAAGCCACATTTTTAAAAACTTAAGTCTATAGATCTGCTTACTTAAAATCACTATACTTTATAGTTCAGCTGTGAAAATGACTACACGAATTAAGACTGGCTTACCTATTCTGTTTATATAAAGCAAAATTCCAAATATTAAAAATAAATAACTTCAGTTGTCCACATGGTCAAGGATATATCAGTAGAAAGAATGTCATTAACGATAGCAATCTTAAATGCTGACAGACTTCTAACTTTTCTCTTTATTTTGCCTGCAAATTATGCCAATAATTTAAATGAAATATACCATACCTGTTTGATGGGTTCTGCAATTAAACACCCAACTACTCTCTTTTCATCAGATATAAAAAGAAAAGTTTTTATTTTGTTTGGACATTTAGGAACAACTTGCTGGAAGCCCAATTCATTATCAACAAGTTCTTGGACATCTTCTACCTAATGATTTTAAAAACCAAAATAGGTGAATGTTTTAAAAAGTACAATAGAAACTATACATATTTATATACACAAAATGTATGATTACTGTTACTTTAGTCCTTAAATTTGTATTTCTTAAATTTATACACCTTCAAAATTATTTCACTATTGATGCATGTAGCTGCTACTGTGGAAACAAGGTTTTAAGAACCTATTTTAAAGATCACTTTTAGCATAAATTCAGACACCTGGGAGGATAAAGAATAGGAAGCGTTAAAACAGATTTGTTTTAGCTTTATTCATTGATCACGGTGGCTAAACATCCAACCTCAGAAACACAGGCCACACTAGTATAAGAAATAGACCCTAGGGGCCATTAATTTCTCAACACTGAAAAGCTTAGTTTACCTTTCACAAGGGAAAGATGAACATATGAACATAAAAGATAAGCTGTGGAGCCTTATCTGCCTTCTTTAATCCTTTTCCTACAATTCTAAGTTTAGTTTTGTATAAATTTCTATGCAAGTATTCATTAAGCACGTGCCCAAGCAAATTATCTGTCAGCAAAGGCAGTTTACACTTCAACATAGGTTGATTTCTTGGGGTTGGGGAAATGCAAGAAATAAAAAGACAATGTTCCATACCTTTTTGATAGCAAAGCTTGGATCACGTGGCAGAACCAACACGATTTTCCCATCCCAAAACTCTGCTACTACACGTTCTTTCTTCCAACCCTGCCAAAGGAAAACAAAAGGGTCACAGTTTAATTTGTGAAGAGAAAAAAAAAAACCAAATTTAAATAATTTGGTGTGGAGAAGACTAAAGGCTAAACAATAACAGATATAAAAGAAGGTAAGATGAAATCCACTAAAAGTAATGTGGAAAGAGAAATAAAAGATGCCTAAGACAAAGTACTTGCCCTCAATAAGCTGACATCCTATCTGGAGACATGTATATGATCTATTATAAAATGAGGTATAGGGGCTGGGTTCACGCCTGTAATCCCAGCACTTTGGGAGGCCAAGGTGGGCAGATTCACTTGAGGTAAGGAGTTCGAGACCAGCAGGCAGGTAGGGGACATTAGAATAAGAAGCCAAATTCCAAGAAAAGGCTAAATAAGTCTTTATATGCCTGTCCCTTATGCTTGACAAGACCACAGATGGGTTCAGTCTTACAACTACTTTAATCCCAATCCCAAGCAAGGTGCCTGGGCATGTGGCCCTAGTGTTTGAATGATACGGAAGTATTACGGGACTTGAAAAGGGTTTAAAAACCTTGGTAAAATGTCAATGAGTATAGTAATGGGAAGGTGATTACCAGCCTTCAGGCTAAGGCAACTAACTGAATAAGCACAAGGGCAGAGAGTGGCAAAAAATCTGGTGTAATTGACTTAAAGATTGGAAGAAATGAGATTGGAATATTAGAAATAAATTTAACAAGATCCATGACAAAACTATAAAATTTTACTTAAGGATATAAAAGATATGACTCAGAGGCATACTAAGTTTCTAAGAATATACTAAGTTTATACAGCAAATACTAAGTTTACATTATAGTATGTACTATACTAAATTTCTAAGGTATACTAAGATATTTTTCCCTACAGAAAATGACAGTTTGACTATAGTTTCAATAAAAATTCTAGTAAGTTTTTTATCTGGGGGGCACTTGACAGGCTCATTTTTTTTTATTTGAAAGAGTAAATGTGCACAAGAAGTCAAGACATTTTTTTACAGAAAAGGATGAAAGGGAACTTACCTAACTAGGCATCCAAATACAGTATGAAGCTACATTTGTAAAAGTATGGCACTGGCACAGGAACAGATGGATGATGTGAAAGTGTCCAATAACAAACCCATTTATATGAGAGAATTTGGTATGCGCTAAAGGTTGCATTGCTAATCAGTGTGGAACATGAACTAGTCAAACAGTACTGTTGGCACACTTTGCAGTCCTTTAGGAAAAATAGAAAGATCCATCTCTAACAGTATGTCTTGAAAAACTTCCAATGGATTAAAATTCTAAACATAAAATTTATAGCTATAAAACTGTTTTTTTAAATATAGGAAAAACTTTTTACTAATTTTGGAAATGAGATGATGTTCCTGACTTAAATCCAGAGGTCACAAGTTACCTAAATATTTGCTTTTCTTTGTAGCAATATACACCATAAAAAGGTTAAAAAAAATCCAAGTAATACTATTTGCTTGTACAGGCAGAAAATATCTCTGAAAGATATATAGATGAACTTTTTAATGATAGATACCTGCAGAGAGGGGCTAAGGGGATTTCTGGAAGGGATATGGAGAAATACTTTACTGGATACACTTTTATATCCTGTGAATTTCGAAACGTGAAAATATTACTATATCAAAAACATAAATTTAAAACTTAAAAAAGGGACAGGGAGAATATATTTGTAAGACAAGAATAATATACAAAATATATAAAGGATAACATGTTCAGTATGTTTCCACAAAAAAGAAAGAAATCTGGCTGGGCGCAATGGCTCACGCCTGTAATCTCAACACTTTGGGAGGCTGAGGTCGGCGCATCATGAGGTCAGGAGTTCAAGACCAGCTTGGCCAACATGGTGAAACCTGTCTCTACTAAAAATACAAAAATTAGCTGAATGTGGTGGCTCATGACTGTAATCCTAGCTACTAGGGAGGCTGAGGCATGAGAATTGCTTGAACCTGGGAGGCAAAGGCTGCAGGGAGGCAGAGGCTCCAATACAGTATAGACAATACTCTGGCTTCATCAGAGAATGCGGCTTACTCCAGCAGCAGGAGCTTAGCACTGGCGAAGGAATGTGTCATATGACAAGGTGGGCAGAAGCCAGATATGAAGAGATCTGCTGGCCACGGTAAGGAGTCTGGGTTTTATTCCTAGTACAAAAGAAAGCTGTCCAAATTGAAGCAGACGATGTCAGGACGTATGTTTTAGAAAGAATTTTCTGGCTGATGGAACAATCAGGTCAGAGAGGGCAAGAATTTAAATATACACATCTACAATTTCTCTAGCATATATTTTATGTGCACATACACAGGAAAGGTTGAGGCCAGATTAAACAGTACCAAACTGCTGGCAGGAACTTTTTCTTTCCAAAAGTATAATCATACTAGATTTATGTTTTAAGACATCATTTCTGGTAGCACTGTGGGAACCCAAAAAGCGAGCTGTTTCTATAAACAGGCTAAAAATATCGCGAAAGTATTAACTATAGCAATAAAAATGGGGAAAAAGAATGTATCTGAGTAGCAGGTACAATCATAAAGATAGGGCCAATGATAGGATGTGTTTGGATTTGAAAGGTGTTTAATAAATGGGTGGGAACTCTCCTCTCAGAAAAAACCTGGAGAAGTCATGGAAAGGCTATTTTTTCTAAAGCTATCTATAAAGAAGACACTATACTAGAAAATGAGATCTCTTTAGGTCTTTAAAGTTTGTATCTCTTGACTGCTCAGCTCTTCTCAGAATGCAGTGCTTACAAAATATTTATCTTATATCAAGATAGTAAGCTTGAAACATCATCTTTAAAAGTTAACTCTTCTGGTCGGGTGGAAAAGAAATGTCTCCTTTAAAGTAGTTTTACTTCTAGAACAAACTGAAAGACTGTCTTTTGGCTCACCACATATTTGATTCCTTCCAGAAATCTATGGTGATGCTGTACATGTTGCATTTCATCTTCAGGGTTGGAAGCAGTATATATCATGCCACAAGACTTACACACAGTGGCCCCAAAATGTTTCTGACCAGCGTCCTGTAATAGGGGAGTAAAAAAAAAAAAAAGCCCATTTAAATATAGCACAGGTAGCTCTAAATTAAGTTCCTATAATCATTCATTCAAATTTCAGCTTATTTATTTTTTTCTGCTGACAAGTAAAAAACTAAATGAAAGTCTGGTCACTATATCCTCCTTCCCACCCCCAGGACAAAATAAAATGAGAAGAGGTCAGTTCAGGTGTGGTGGCTCACGCCTGTAATCCCAGCACTCTGGGAGGCTAAGGTGGGTCAATCACTTGAGCCAAGGAGTTCAAGACCAGCCTGGGCAACAAGGTGGGACTCTACCTCTTTGGGGAAGGAAAAAAAGAAAGAGAAGATACCTAAAAATGCAACAAATTGATGAGAGGCAATTGTTTATTGGAATGGACAGTGTAAAAAACCAGATGCTTTTATTTTTATAAGATTCTTTACTAGACCCATGGTTCTAAGAAGGTATAAGATTAAATCATGGAAATTTAGCTAAAATTAAAAATGGAAGTTTTTAATGAAACAAAGACCTCAAAAAGCCTTATTTCAAACACGAAGGGCAAAAACTTTAGGACTTTTAATTACACAATATTTTTCCTTAAGCAGCTAGGAATATTAAACTCTTTAATTCTTAAAGAGTATTAAAGTTATTTGACCCAAGAGTTAACAAAAAATAAAGTTCAGAAAATCACAGTTAAATTCAAGAATATTCAATATCACCACCTACAATTCCCATTCTGTCACATAAAACATTCCTTAATGCCATTGAAAATACTAAGTTCTGGGCTGGGTGTAGTGGCTCACACTTGTAATCCCAGCACTTCAGGAGGTCAAGGAGGGTGGATCACAAGGTCAGGAGTTCAAGACCAGCCTGGCCAATATGGTGACACGCTGTCTCTACCAAAATTAGCTCAGTGTGGTGGCACGTGCCTGTAGTTCCAGCTACTCAGGAGGCTGGGGCAGGAGAATCACTTGAACCTGGGAGGCAGAGGTTACAGTAAGCCAAGATCACGTCACTGAACTCTGGCCTGGGCAACAAAGTGAGACTTCATCTCAAAAATGAAAAGCAAAAAACAAAAAAGAAAACACCAAGTTCTGAATTGTCTAATACAGGAGTTGGCAAGCTTTTTCTGTAAAGGGCTAGATAGGAGCAGCTTTGTTTTGACTTTACTCACAATGACGAGCTGGTCTTTTGTTTTTTTACTTGTATCTCTGATATTAGTATTTTTCTGAATATTGGTCTGTTTCAAGAAGTTGACAGATCCCACAGAAGACTGTTCTTCACCTAAAGATCTTGACACAGAAAATTGATAAATATCATATAAATTTACAATGTTTGTGGTATTACAATGGAAAGAAAGACAACATTTAACAGACTACCTTGCAATTTTTAGTGCTATCTGACATTAACTTGATGAGATAATAGGGACAGGAACAAGAATAAACCTGAGGCCCACTCAGAGAGGGTCAGTAATTTACTCAAGGTAAAGTAACTAGTGAACAGCAGTGTTAACACTCAAATTCTAGTCTTCTGACTCCAAGTCCTAGGGACTTTCTTTTATAATATCAGATGCACACAGATTCACATTTTGGAAATTGACTTCACATTTTAAAAAAAGTTTTTTTTTTTTTTTTTTTAATCAAATCTTAGTACCATATTTACCTATACAGCTATAAAGAAATTCCTGAGCTACTAGAGGAAATAAGTATAATACTGAACTTCACAGATCCACAGGCAATCAGTCACCATATTATAACCTAGCCAACATTTTACCAGAGCAAAGCAGCTACTAAATCTGCCTTTCCTCACACCAAAAGCAGCATCTCACGACTTTGAAATTATTAAAGGGGAAAAAAAAAAACATGTTTAGGCTGGATAGATGTAGTTGAGACAACCTTTAACTATTAGGAAAGAATGTTGAGATTCACTTACAGAGGTTGCAAACTGGTGACCCTCAGGCCAAATCTAGCTAGCAGATATGTTTTGGTTGGCCCATATGGTTATTTAAGACTTTGGGTTAGCTACCAATATTTTATAATCTAGAGATTTCACTTAAAAATGTGTATTTCCAATATTAAGAGAGACATTGAGGGGTGGGCACAATGGCTCACACCTGTCATTCTAGCACTTTGGGAGGCCAAGGTGGGCGGATCATGATGTCAAGAGATCGAGACCATCTTGGCCAACATGGTAAAACCCAAACTTTATCAAAAATACAAAAATTAGCCAGGCATGGTGGCACGCACCTGTAGTCCCAGCTACTTGGGAGGCTGAGGCAGGAAAATCTCTTGAACCTGGGAGGCGGAGGTCGCAGTGAGCCATGATTGTGCCACTACACTCCTGCCTGATGACAGAGCAAGACTCTGTCTCAAAAAAAATAATAATAAAAATAAAATAAACAGATACTGTAAGATCACTAAACCTCTATTCCATCAATGAATCTACTAGTCAGAACTTGGAATAGCACATGCACTTTTAAGTGGGCAATTCTTCAGCTGGCCCTAGTTTTCACCCAGCCTGCTGGTTCTGTAGGTACTGAGTTTGTAACCCTTGCCTTGTAATGAAAAGACCTCGGTTTTCCAGGGACTGAAGGCACAGAAATCCCTAGAAAGTAGAAGCGAATAGTCAAGGAAAAAAAAAAAAAAAAAAAAACAAACCCTAGGGCCCAAAGAAGTTAAAACAATAGGAAAAAAAACCTGACAAAATAAAGTAGGGGGGAAAAAAAAAGTGGAAAAAAAATAAAGCTAATGCTTTGTTGCATTAAGCTAAGTCAAGCTGCCTTATTACCATTTATCTGAAAAGTAGTTTCCAAATTGACTTGACAAATCTATACTAAGAAATACATTTTACATCATGACTAGTACAAACATAAAACCAGTGTCACTAAATATACTTGCTATGTGAGAGATATACTATTCCATTAAAAATAAATGCTAGATATGACATCCTAAACTTATCTAAGAAAACTACTAAAGGGCTGCTACCTGCAGTATGAAAAAGATTTGTCCAAGTCACTGACCCTTTTCACCTTATGCAGCCTTTGCTAAGTAACTCAGCTTTCCCTGACCCTGCATGTGTGACAGCCATCTCTTTGCTTCCATTTTAGCAATTGTAATACTAAACTATACTTGTTTAAATGTATACCCTCCTCTAACCATAACCTCCTTGATAGCAAGACCACATTAATTATCTTCACATCTCTAGGGTTCAGTATAGTTTCAAAAGTACATGATAAATACTCTCTAAATGTTCACTGAATGAGCCTTAAAAACCAAAAAACAAATGTGAGACTAAGCACTTTGAGAATCTGTAATCTACCTGAACAGATTAAATTTCAAGAAATTGCTGATACCTGATGTTTTGGAGTCTACAAAAAGAGCAATTTCATATTATTTAACAAATAGCATCCCACTGTCTTTTTTTTTTTTTTTTTTTTTTTTTTTGAGATAGAGTCTTGCTTAGTCGCCCAGACTGGAGTACAGTGGCATGCTCCTGGCTCACTGCAACCTCTGTCTCGTGAGTTCAAGCTCTTCTCCTGTCTCAGCCTCCCGACTACCTGGGATTACAGGTGAGTCCCATCATGCCCAGCTAATTTTTGTATTTTTAGTAAAGATGAGGTTTCACCAAGTTGGCCAGGCTAGTCTTGAACTTCTGACCTCAGGTGATCCACCAGCCTCGGCCGCCCAAAGTGCTGGAATTACAGGTGTGAGCCACCATGCCCGGCCTGTCTCTTTATGCTAGACTAAATTAGTATACACTTTTATCAGTTAATTGTGGAAGGCTTCTGCTGTGGTTTGAACACGTCCCCCAAAGTTCATGTGTGAAAACTTAATCTCCACTGTAACAAGTTTTGGGAGGTGTTAGCTCATGATGGTTCCACCTTCATAAATGGATTAATGTTGATTATTGAAGGATGTGAGACTGCAAACCAAGCTCTCTTGTTCTGTCATGAACACTCTCTTGTTCTTCTGCTTTCCGCCACGGGATCATGCAGCAAGAAGGCACCCACCAGATGTGGCTGCTTGATGCTGAACTTCTTAGCCTTTAGAACTGTGAGTCAAATAAATTTCAGTTCATTATAAATTACCTAGTCCATGGTATTCTGTGCAGCTCCCATCTTCAATAAAAGGTCATGAAAGATGATAACACAGGCAAGAAATGGGAAGGTGAGAAAAACTAGAAACCAACCTTTGAAGAGAAAAGCTGCCCACCCAACCTAATCACTGAGGCAATTTAAGGTGATGTTCTCTGAGAGTAATGTAATGTAGCCAGGAAGTTCCGTGCTTAATATATGAAGTTATTTATAACCAAATGGGGAGAGAAAGATCAAAGCTAATTAGGAAGAGGATGTTTAGACTCTAAGAAACTACTTTTTCAGAGCTCTGATGCCTCCCCCATCACAGTCTTTAGCTTTGAATAGGATACTGGTAGCTTCAGCTATACCTTATGGTAATGTTAAACTGCTGCAAGTTACTTATTCCTGCAGCCAGATCCCTCATCTACAAAATGGGGTAATGGTGCCTACATCATCAAGTTGTAAATGCTTATTAAGTTTTAGCTATGATTAGTATACTTTCACCCAAGGAAGGCAATATAACCTAATGGACATTTGGTTCAGATACAGATTCTAGTCCCGATCCTAGCCCCTAATAGCTGTGCAACTGTGGCTCAATTACTAACAGTTTCTTAGGCTGAAAATAGAATAACAGTGTCTACCTTCTAAGCTGTTGTGATAATTGAGATAATAGATATAAAAACTACTTATTTTGAGTCAGGTATTATACAATAATGTTAGCAATGATGATTAGTCAAGCCTATGAGGAAGTTTTCCATCTCAAGTTTTTATGATGTTTCTATGAGGGACTGATTTCATTGCTCTATTCTCAAAATTAGTCTCCTATTCCCCTTAGTGAGGAAGAAAAAAAACCTCCCCAAATTAAGTAGCATGAAACTAAAAAAGAGACCCAAAGGACCTATGATTTATAAGGCTTAGACTTTAAAACAATAACAATTCTCACCTTTTTGAACTGACTGAAGATGCATTGAAGATTGGATAGACAGTGGACTTAGGAGAAACTGGTAGGGAAAAAATTGTGATAATGTGTATTACTAAATAAAATCAAAGCTTTAATTTATAAGATTTCAAAGATTAGTAAGACAAAATACTACTTAAAATCAAGACTTAACAAAGAGGCAAAGGTAACTCTGTGGAGAAAAAATAGTCAACAAATGGTGCTGGACCATGTAAATAGACCAATTAAACGTCCATATACAAAAAAAAAAAAAAAATTACACCTATTCAAACCTTAGGTGAAATTAACTCAAAATGGATCACACATCTAAATGTAAAACTATGACCAGGCCTGGTGGCTCATGCCTGTAATCCCAACACTTTAGGAGGCTAAAAGTGGGCGGATAGCCTAAGGCCAGGAATTCAAGACCAGTCTGGGCGATTTAGTAAGACTGCATCTCTACAAAAAAATTAATAATAAAGTAAAAACATAAAACTATAAAACTTCTAAAAAATTAGGAAAAAAACTTCATGAACTTGAAATGTGGTGATAAGTTTTTTCATACAACACCAAAACCACAATACATTTTTTAAAAAATTGGACTTTATCAAAGTTAGATATTTTTCTCTACAAAAAAAATAAATAAATAAGAGAATGAAAAGACAAGCCACAGATTGAGGAGAGAAAATATCTGCAATCATATATCTGATCAAGAACTTATATCCAGAATATATAAAGAAATTTTATGGTATATTGATAGTTCAGTGACAAATGAGAATTACAACTGATACACCCAAAGACATAGATGAATCTTAAATGTATTACTAAGCAAAATAAGCCAGACCCCAAAGGATATATATGTGTAATTTTTTTCTATAGAAATAAAAAGCAAATTAATGGTTGCCGGGGGCTTGGGGAAAGAGTAATTAACAACAAAGTGTAGGCTTAGGGAAATTTTAGGGTGAAGTAACTGTTCTGTATGGTACTGTAATGGCTAATACGTAACTTTATACATTTGATAAATCCCACAGAACTGTAAAAATCACAAAGAATGAACTTCATTTCTTGATTTTTGCTGGAAAAAAAATGAACTTCAATGTACATCAAATTAGAAAAAAATATGTATAAATATCAACCAGGCTATTGAGGCATCCTAAGATGGAATGCAGACAGTAAGAAATGAATCTAACTATGTTAGACCCGTATAGCGTAACAACACTGAAAAAGGTAGTGGGAAAAAGAGAAGCTGTCCTACAACGTTTTGACCAGAAGTAAGATAAAGACTGCACTTAAAATTGCACTCTAGGCAATCCTAGAACTTTGGGAGGCAGAGGCAGGTGGCTCACCTGAGGTCAGGAGTTCAAGACCAGCCTGGCCAACATAGTAAAACCCTGTCTCTACTAAAAAACACAAAAAATTAGCTGGATGTGGTGGCACACGCCTGTAGTACCAGCTACTTGGGAGGCTGAGGCTGGGGAACTGCTTGAATCCAGGCGGTGGAGGTTGCAGTGAGTCAAGGTCGCGCCACTGCACTCAAAAAAAAAAAAAAAAAAAAAAAGAAAAGAAAAGAAAAGAAAAAAGCCTAGAATAAACCCTTGAGTGCAGGATTAGAGTTCAAGATATGCAAACAAAGAAACAAGGAAAAGACAGAAAATCTCACAGACCAGAGAAGGCTAAAGACACATAACAATTAAATGTAATATAGTGCCATGGATTGGATACTGGAACAGAAAGAAAATGTTAATAGAGTTAACAGCAATATACCACTATCAATATTTAGTGAACTCCAAATAAAGTCTAGTGTTTATGGCAGGGACAGTAGCTCACACCTGTAATCCCAGAACTCTGGGAGGCTGAAACAGGTTGGTCACTTGAGATCAGGAGTTTGAGACCAACCTGGCCAACATAGTGAAATTCTACTTTGGCAAAAATACAAAAATTAGCTGGGTGTGGTGGCAGACACCTGTAATCCCAGCTACTTGGAAGGCTGAGGCAGGAGAAATGCTTGAACCAGGGAGGTGGAGGCTGCAGTGCATTGTGATCATGCCATTGCACTCCAGCCTGGGCAACACAACGAAACTCCATCTATACCAACACCAGTTTATTTTGACAAAAGTATTATGGTAACATAAGATGTTAAGAATGGAGAAAACAGGGTAAGAGATACACTGCTATTCTCTGTACTTTAACTTTTCTGTAAATCTAGAATTACGGCAAAATAAACAGCCTATTAAAAGAAAAGACCAAAGTTAAAACAGCAATTAATTTGAGGAAAATAGTAAGTTGAGAGTGGGCTAAAAAAACAAACTTTAACTTCGAATTGGAAAATAATTAGAGCTCATCTTCTAGAAACAAGACTAAGGCAGGTGAGGGTCTGATGTGCTGTGGGTAAGTTGTTCAATGCAAGTCCATTTCCTCATCTATAAATGGGCATATCAGAACCTAGAGTAGTTGGGATAATTAAATGATGAACTATAGTTATTAATAAAATTTTGGTCGTTTTTATGTCACTTTCATTTCTGCCATATCCTTATATCATTTGTTATTTTTATTCACAATTTTTCTTTAAATTGACTTCAACAATGTACTAAAATTTATTTTAAAAGAAAAATTGGTAACTAGTGTTAAGTAGATGCCATAGTTTTTCTGTTATAGGTTCTATTTTATCAGTTGAGTACAATCTATGAAAACCTAACGCATACTACTTAGCAGCGCCTGATATATACATTCAGCACTCAGTAAATACTAGTTATTAACATCACAGCTCAGAATCATTAAAAAAAAAAAAAAAAAAAAAAAAGAATTAGTCATGATTATCAGAACAGGAATCTCCGAGGACAAAAAAAAGAGAATCATGGTGAATATATATCATTAGACCCTCTAAGTATTACTGTTTCAGATCATCTGTTAACTTTTTATTTTCTATGAGCTACAGCTTCTCACATGAGTCAGCAGGTCTAATCCAAGAATTTTAATTTATTTCCAAATTTGTAGACAGAGCCAAAGAGGTGCCATTATTAATAATCTGGTTGGTGGGGCCGGGCGCGGTGGCTCAAGCCTGTAATCCCAGCACTTTGGGATGCCGAGGCGGGTGGATCACGAGGTCAAAACATCGAGACCATCCTGGTCAACATGGTGAAACCCCGTCTCTACTAAAACTACAAAAAATTAGCTGGGCATGGTGGCACGTGCCTGTAATCCCAGCTACTCAGGAGGCTGAGGCAGGAGAATTGCCTGAACCCAGGAGGCAGAGGTTGCGGTGAGCTGAGATCACCCCATTGCACTCCAGCCTGGGTAACATGAGTGAAACTCCGTCTCCAAAAAAAAAAAAAAAAAAAAAAAAAAGAATCTGGTTGGTAAGTAAAATGCTAGTGAACCACTTTACGTATTCATATTTAGTAAGCTGTTTAATTGAACACTGACAGCATGAATTAGGAATGGGATTTCAGAACTAACAGGAATTTAAAAATTACCTTTTAACTCCTTAGAGATCTCTTCCTTGATCATACAGCTAATTAGCAGTAACCGTAGACAAAAATCTCCTGGTTTCTGATGCTTAATTTCAGTGTCATTTATATGACTTAGGAAGTTCAGCTAACAATTGGGCTTTGATCAAAAATGTACATAATAGTTTTAACTCCTTATTATTTTGGGTGATAGAGTAGGTATGATTTTATAATGAGAACACTCAACTCTAGAGAGCTTCAGTAATTTGGCCACAACCACAGACCAATTAAGCCTAATATTTTGTCTAAAATTTTAATCTAGGATCTCCTTGTTTCCTGCTTTTCAAAACGCAACGCACTGCTTTACTACAGAAAACAGTGTCATAGAGATAAACACAAAGATACTAACCACAGGCACAGTACTGAAGAAAGAAAAAGACCCAGAAAGTATTTTAAAGGAATTATATTATTGTATAACATATGTAATAAAGCATTATTTTAAGTAGCTAAATTCAAGCAAGTTTTCTCTTACTTGTCTTCTCACCAAGAGAATCCTCTGAAGGAAAAGACTTTTTATCAACTTCATATTCCTTTGAAGAAACACTGTCACCTGATGAGTCCTGAAAATAAACAGGAAAAAAAAAAGTAAATCTGTAATTTTAACTGTTTTCTATTGAATGAATCCCAGCAGATCTGTTTCTAAAACAAAATATTTGGTTTATTATGAATTACATTTCATGTGATTTTAAATCAATTTTCAAATGATTTTTACAAAAATTTCCCCTGTATTCACTAAGTGTACATCATCTTTTAAAAGCCAGAGTACAAATACTGTAATCTGTCATCCTCTCAAAAATGTTTACTTCCTGATAAAGATGGTAGAATGATTACAGACCATCACTTTCATAATGAAATGAACAATAAACATTAGTAAAAATGGCAAAAATTTCCCCAGCAGCCACCAAACTGGAAAGGGACCACTTTTTGCCACAAACTCTAAAACAAGCAGTTAAGGAAAGAATAACCTTCTGGACTCACTAGGGAGTAGCAGGAATGTGGAAAAAGCAAAGTAAAAAAAATCCTGACGGATTTCCCTCATATCAATTTGGGAATTACTAGGGAATATATAGTTTGGGGAAAAAACTCTTGTTTAAAGCAGAACTTCTACTCAAGACCATACTATTCCAGCAGAGGTGGGATAACCCATCCGTTTACACTTTTCAGGGCTCCATGAGCTGAGGAAAGGGTATCCTCATAAAAATCAGATTCACCTTTAGCCAGCAAAGATGATTCCTAGACATGGTTACTTTGCAAAATCCTGAAAGCACAGCCCAGTTCTACAAATTTAAGATGCACAAAAGCCCAGCTTCCCATATTACTGAAAACTAACTCTACCAATCCTGTAAAGTGAAACTAAGAAAATGAAAAGAAGAGGGTGTTACAGAGAATTCATCATGTCAGCATATCAAGGCTATACTAAATAGTAAGAATAATCATCAGGAGATGCATGGGGAAACTACAGACCCCTCCTTTGTTTTGCTGGATTGAGACAATGTTAGCTTGAGTTATGCCCAAATTGTCAAAAAAACTTTATTTTCATACAGTCAAATGTACAGGTATAAAGCAGTTTAATAAATGTTGATAAACCTTATTTTTGTAATCAAAATCCCCATCAAGACACAAAAGTGTTTTGTTGATATAAACAAAAAATTAGTAAAATTAGACTGTCATGGCTTAGCCAGCAAGAACATATCTCATTTAATATACTTGGCTATACTTGATAAATAGGAAAAAAATTAACCAAAAACACAGTGAGAAGTAAAAACTGAAATGCCTTACAAGGGCAGCAGGTAAGCAAAATTATCAAAACTAAACTGATCTAAATACATATATATACACGGACTTAGTGAGAGAAATGAAGAGCCCGTGTTTGTCAAACAGCATGATACTCAGCCTGATATTCAGCTGACTGTTGCCAGGTAGAAATGAAGGCTCAGCTTTCAATATTTCAGCAGACACCAGAAATGTTTTTCTTGTATTTAAAAAAGATTTTGGCTCTAATTTTTAAATTATGTAGGTCTAGCAAAACATTTATGGGTGAGATTTTGTTTCCTAGTCACCAATTTATAATCTTTGCCACTGAGGTTTGAAATTTAGGTGATTACCAGAGGTATGAACTGGGGTTGAATATCAGAGAAGCTAGTGAGGAGGACAATGATGAAAGTGGGTTAGGAAAGAAATGACTATAAGCCTATCATTTCTCCAGCTGCAAGGGTCATGATGAATATAAACAAGTCACTGTAGACATGCAAGCCCTGATTTGGGAGACCTTAAGGTTGCTTCAGTGGCTTTCTGCCCCCAGCTGCCCCACAAAACCCAACTTTTTTTTTTTCTGATGAAGGTTATAGACAGGAAATCAGCAACAGAAGTTCTAAACCAGCATGGTCCAATACGGTAGCCACCAGCTGCACACACCTACCGAGAACTTAAAATGCAGCTGGGATAGGTGCCATGGCTCACACCATAATCCCAGCAATTTGAGAGGGTGAGGCAGGTGAATTACTACATCCCAGTAGTTTGAGATCAGCCTGGCCAAAATGGTGAAACCCCGGTCTCCACAAAAAGTACAAAAATTAGCCGGGTGAGGTAGTGTCTACCTATAGTACCGGCTACTTGGGAGGCAGAGGTAGAAGGATCCCTTGAGCCCAGAATGTTAAAGCTATAGTGAGCAGGGTTTGTGCCTGGGTCACAAAGACCGACCCTGTCTCAATAAAAAATAAATAAATGAATAAACTACCTATAATAACACTATGCTATCTGGCTTTATAAAAGCAGTTCAGAAAATAAAATTTTATTCAACTATGACATTTATACCGGTTTTGTTATATAAACATTTTTAAAACAACATATTTAGCTTTCTTTACCTTTATTAATTTCTCTTGATTTTTACTGCTTGCATTCAGTAGCTCAATGTTCAATTTCTCTTCTAGGAACAAGCACTTTGGCACTTTCCTTGTCTCAAGTGTTTTTTTTTCACTGACAGTCTCTACATCACAATCTTCAATCAATTCTGATTTATTCTTTTGGGTGAGTCCCAGTGATGGCTCATTTTCCATGTACCATTTTCTAAGAGAGGATTTTTTTCTACTAACAAAAAATGCTGCTCCACCCTGGAGTGTAACTTGTGGTTTTATTTTTTGGCTTAGAACCCTAGGAGCATTGGGATTATTTTCAGCTGAATAACAATTATTCTCTTTCTCCACAACTGGCTTACAGACTACTCGATTTTGCTTGGAATTTTTAGGATTCCTTGATACAGGCTTGATGTGTCTATACCTTGGTTGATACTTAGCAGTTAAACTCTTCTGTGGCTTTTTGTTGTTCTTCTTGGGGCAGACTGGTTTTCCCTGCATTTTTTCTGTCACGATGGGAAAAGATTTATCTTCAACATTATTTTTTAGGTAAGTAGATCTACTCTGTTTTATCAGCTTCCTCTCCAATGGATTGAGGTACCACTTATTTTGGTTGTAAAAAGATACAGTGGACACAGCAGATTTAAATGGTGAGCCTTGATTTGCTGATGGCCGTCTATTTATTTCAGATGTTTTGAGTGCACTTAAAACAAAATGCCCTTGTTGAGAGGAATGCAGGTTTTCTTCATTTTTATCACTGTTTTGATAAAAAACAATGCTTTTTATTAGGTGATGGAAACAGATTTTCAGTTAAGAGCAAAAGGCTACAAAAAGAAACAAAGTCCATTGATAAGATTATTTTGCATCAAAATTTACATAAATTTACTAATAAGTAATAAGCTCCACTTACAGGTCATATTAAAGACAACACATGCCCCTCCCAACATATATACAATTTTCTATTAGTTTAACAGAATTCTCAAATTCTATCAAGTAAAACATTCAAATATCTTCCCAAAGAGCCCAATAATGTTCATGAAAACAAATACCACATACAAGGAAGCTCTGATAGACATATATATGCAAATGTGTTTTAATTTTTTTAAGACAGAGTCTCACTCCATCACTCGGGCTGGAGTGCAACAGTGTGGTTTCAGCTCACTGCAACCTCTGCCTCCCCAGGTTTAAGCGATTCTGTGACCCTCAGCCTCCCGAGAAGCTGGGACCACAGGCACATGACACCACACCCGGCTAATTTTTGTATTTTTAGTAGAGACGGGATTTCACTATGTAGGCCAGGCTGGTCTCAAATTCCCGACCTCATGATCCACCCACCTTTGCCTTCCAAAGTGCTGGGATTACTGGCGTGAGGCACCCCGCCCAGCTGCGTGTTTCAAAATCTAAATTATAGCTCATTTATTTTGCTCTATTGGCCACACGTCCCCTATAATAATTGTCTGTAATAAACTGACCCCTTGGGGCTTTTCCTGGGTGGAATAATATCCGAGTGCACAGACTTTCTAGAATTGTTTACAGACAAGCATCTACTGTATACAAAACACTGTACACTATTATAGGGGAATAAAAAGGAACAAGGTAATAACCAATCTGGTATACTTCCTAGTCACAGAAAATAGCTTTCTTCAATGTGCTGCTTCTGTCAAAAGAAAAAACTTCGATTCCCTTGAAAAGGACTAATTCATTATGAAAACTTAATGTATTTCCAAACTAGAATTCGAATATAGGTTATCACTGTAGTCACAAGAAGTAGGCTAGTGGAAGAACAAAAATTTTATAAAATAGAAAGAACAAGAGAGACAAAAAAGTGGATTTTTCTTTAAGAATTTCTATTCATAGGCTGAGATTCATTCACCTGTCACGGTTCAAAAAATCCTGCTTCCTCTTCCTTGGAGTCAGAGCTGCCATCTTCTTTATTGAATTCCTAAAAGAAGTGACAATTTTTACAACCAAATTCATCAAAGCATTAAACATCGCTTTATCAAAATTACACTTTGAAAGTCTGAAAATTATCCAGATGGGTGATGGTCTATACAGATCCAGGTGAAGCGTTTTTTTTTTAAAAAGCAACTTTCTCTAATAAAAATTTAAACCATGTTTTAAGAAGGGAGAGAGAAAACACTGGGCAAATAAGAACAGAAAATAAAAGTAGGGATCACATCTATGTGTCAAGCTGGAAAATCATCCCAGCATGGGGGAAATAGTTTGTACCCTCTTTCAGGGCAGGCTTTCCCCTTTAATGAGTCTAATTCACACCAAGTAAATCAACCCCGCTCTCCTCCCACCCCTCCCGGGCTGCACGCGCTTGTTCTCTGCCTCCATGGCACCCTGTGTTTCCCTACTAGTCCACTTAAGACATTTTTTTTCTTGTTTCCCCATCTCCACAGCCTGTGCGTCCGACGAAGGCAGAGACCGTTTGTAACTTTTCATCAGAGCCCACCAAGAAAAGCTCTGCCATTGTCCTAGCTGAGGAGCCGGGAGCAAGCCGTCTGCTTCCCATTTTATAAAAACCTCTTAAAGTCATGGGGCTGCTGAAAACAAATGCAAGGCTGCACGAGCAGACGGCTGTGTGGCTCGTCAGAGTTCATTTTCTTCCCCTTCCCTGGGATCAGGGAAACTCCCCCGAAAGCGGCACACAAGCCTTATTTCAAAGCTAACGATAAAAGAACACACGGAAAGGCCAGGGGCTGTGGGAATTCAGGTCGAGCTGCGCCTTAGGCAAGGACTCTTCTGGGCTAAGCCAGGAAAGGTAGGAGAGGAAAGCGTCCCGACCCTGAATCCCGTCAGGCCCAAAACAACAACAACAAACCGGAAACAAGGAAACGCCGGCGTTGGAAGATGGAACCGCGGCGCCTGTGAGCGCGGAGAACGCGTCAGTGGCTTCTTCGCGCTTGGGCCCGCGGACCTGCAGAGCGCGGAGCAAAAGCTCTTTTCCCTTGAGATTCGCTCCCGCGTTCCACAAGGTCTCCCGCCCGCCTCAGCCTTCCACAGCCTTGCCTCGGCCTACTCCAGCGGTTACATTACCCACGCCTCAGAGATGGGCGAGCTCTCGTCCGCTGAGCCAGCCGCTCTGTGAGCGTCTTCAAATTATCGCGCGCCAGGCTAGACGGAAGCCGCTGCGTTCCGATTGGCCACGGCTCAGCGCTTCCAGGGGCTGGCTCGATGATTGGTAGAGCACCAGCTCTTACCCCGCCCACCCTGGTGGCTGTTTCCAAGATTCTCGCGCCTTGGGGAGGTGAAAAGTTTTAAGGGAAACCACGCCTCCCACAATCCCCCACAACAACGCCGGGCTCCGTTCCCGGGGCCTTGTTTAGATGCATTCTGGGAATTGTAGTTCTCGACCCCGTTGAAGTCGAGGGACCTTCTGGGGTCACTTAGGGTAAGAAGTTTTTGTAGCCGGGCGCGGTGGCTCAAGCCTGTAATCCCAACACTTTGGGATGCCGAGGCGGGTGGATCACGAGGTCAAAACATCGAGACCATCCTGGTCAAAATGGTGAAACCCCGTCTCTACTAAAAATACAAAAAATTAGCTGGGCATGGTGGCGCGTGCCTGTAATCCCAGCTACTCAGGAGGCTGAGGCAGGAGAATTGCCTGAACCCAGGAGGCGGAGGTTGCGGTGAGCCGAGATCGCGCCATTGCACTCCAGGCTGGGTGACAAGAGCGAAACTCTGTCTCGAAAAAATAAAAAAAAAAGGATGTAGGTGATGGGGAGGAAGGCAGCAAATCACACTGCCACGTGTGTTCCTATGCAACAATTTTGCATGTTCTTCACATGTACCCCAAAACCTAAAATGCAATAAAATAAATAAATGGGAAAAAGAAAAAGAAGAAGTTTTTGTAAAAATGGCCTCTCCAAGATTATTGATGCACTTACTTTTCACATTTGAAGCTTGATTGTTAATTCACTTTTTTTTTTTATTAGTAACTTTAGGTTTCTATTCACTATTTTATTTTTCGAATTAAAATATAAATCAACACCTGCTGTGTGCCAGGCATTCTTGGATGCTTTACCTGTTTTGTTTCATTTACTCCTCACCACAATCTGTAAGGTATTAATATCTATTGACATTACCATTTTTACAAATAATACAACTGAGAGCCTCAAAACAATTACTGTTTATAGAACAGAGCTAAATTCGTACTTTGGAAAACCAGAAAGTTCCTAAAACAGTTATTGTTAGCTATTGTTATTTGTGTTACCAGCTCCTGGTACAGTGTCTCTGGCACATTTTTAGTTTCAAATAAATTTAGGGTTTTATTTTTTCAAATTTAATTTTCACAAATTTGTATGTCATTCTTTTTTTTTTTTTTTTTTTTTTTAAGACGGAGTTTCACTCATGTTACCCAGGCTGGAGTGCAATGGCGCGATCTCGGCTCACCGCAACCTCTGCCTCCTGGGTTCAGGCAATTCTCCTGCCTCAGCCTCCTGAGTAGCTGGGATTACAGGCACGCGCCACCATGCCCAGCTAATGTTTTGTATTTTTAGTAGAGACGGGGTTTCACCATGTTGACCAGGATGGTCTCGATCTCTTGACCTCGTGATCCACCCGCCTCGGCCTCCCAAAGTGCTGGGATTACAGGCTTGAGCCACCGCGCCCGGCCTGTATGTCATTCTTGAGCAGGGGCCATGTTAATGTTCTCTGTATCATTCCAATTTTAGTATATGTGCTGCCAAAGCGACTACCTAAATAAATTTCGTTGAGTGACACAATTTCACAGAATTCGATTTCATAGAATGAAGTCAGTGACAGTGATGTGTCAGTTTAAAAGGAAAAGGCTGAGGCAAAAATGTAGAGTTTGCTTGAGTTAAAGTGGGGACAACTGCCCAGAAGATTTCCACCCCTCCCCGCCTCGGATAAGAGCTCTTTCCCGGCCGGGCGCGGTGGCTTACGCCTATAGTCCCAGCACTTTGGGAGGCGGAGGTGGGCGGATCACCTGAGGTTTGGAGATCGAGACCAGCCTGGCCAACATGGAGAAACCACATCTCTTTAAAAAAAAAAAAAGACCTCTGTCCGGCCTTTGCTACAAGCAGGGTTTTTAAAGACGAAAAGGGGAAAGGAAGTGAAGCTGATACAAAACTGTCAAGTATTCTCATTGATTTATAGGAACTACATGGATCAGTGATTGGCTAGACATTGTTAAGCTATAGGGTGTGGGTCATAGTGTCTTGTGTGGCACTGTTTAGTAGATAACTACCTGTGGCAAAAGCAAGTAGTTTCAGGAGATGAATACATAGCTCAAGGGGGAAGTGGAACGTGATGGGGTCTCATTTTAATGCCTCTCAAGACCTGGTAATTTAAAGGGACTTACATTCCTCAGATAAAAGTGCTTTCTCAAGAGAAATAATCAGGGCAAAGCCAAGTGCTGTAGGAGCTTTACATGAGTATGATTATTCCCACTTCACAGCAGGAGAACCTCTGAGGTGCAGAGGTTTGGGATGGCAGGCCTTCAATTTAAGCCAGAACAAAGTCCAGTCCCCAAGAGGCATACTGTCCTGGTGAGTATCAGGAACAAGCTTGAGTGCTGTGTTCTAAACTCTTGGTCCCCATTAACTTATTTAACTCTAAAAAAAAAAATCCCGTGAGTTAGCTGCTCTAGTGTCACCTTCATTTCACTGCTAAGGAAAGTGAAGCGCAGAAAGGATAACCAATGTGCCCAAGATGCCCAGCGTCTTTCCCTCAGCCCACAAATCGCGGAACCAGACTCCTTGCCAATACCCTTCGCCTCGCCGGGATTAACGGTGGCGCCCACGACCGGGGTTGTGACGCCACCCGACGTCCTCCGGAAGTGCACAGAGGAGTTCCGGGGACCAGGCGACCGCCGCGCCACTGGTGTCCTGAGCTTCCGGAGTTGAGCGCTGCCGCTCCGCGGTGGGGTCGCCGCACGGCCGCCGAGATCATGGTGTTCTACTTCAGCAGCAGCAGCGGTGAGTGGGCGCCGCGTCCTCCCCGGACCCTGCTGGACAGCGGGCTCCGATGCCGGGATCCCCAGCCCGCCGCTGCGCCTGAACCTCGCCCCAAAACGCCTCCTCGATGCCAGTGCCTCTTCCCGCGGCCGCTCGGTCCCTCAGCGCGTCTGTCCCTCTCACGTCCCCTCGTCACGGCGTGGGGGGCGCGGAGGGGCGATGCCACTGCTATGTTTGTGTCCGGGAGTTCTCGTCCCCCAGCCGGAAGGACGTCCTGTCACTCCCTGGAATTGGGCAGAGCCTGTGGGCTTCTCCACACACCTTATCCCCAGTCTTCTTCCCACCTCCCATCTGCGGCTTTTATTCCGGCTGCACCCTGGCAATTATCCCCCGTGAGGAAGGGGACACCCGCTAGCAACTTTTGCTTAAGAGAAGTGCGCCTTACCCTTTCAGGAAGGGGTTGTAGGGTCTGGGACGCAAAAGAAAGCAATAAAAAGACCCTGGAATGTCACACAGCCACTTCCTGGGCAGTTGATGTCCCAGATCTCGAAAGTGACCTGTGATAATGCTTCTGACTTAATCTTTGGCAAATAAGGAAAGGGTGCCTTTCGTTCCCAGGAACTGCGGTGTCCCGACTTGGCTTTATTCTGTTCCTGTTATTCCCCTTTCCTAAAATGAACCCTCAGCTGATTCCCTTAAGACAGTTTTGGCCCATCTTTTCCAAGATGCCTTTCCTGATCTGAGCTCCCACCCCAAGAGTGCTTAGCTATTCCTTTTCTGGGACCCACTTAACGTTCCAAGTATGCCTTTGGCATTGCACTTATCACGTGGTATTAAATGGTGTCTGCTTGAGCCAGAGTGTAAGCCCCTTGAGGGCGTGGACAGGATCTATTTACAGTACTCCCTACTTGTCCTGGGTTTCACTCTCTGTGGTCATATCATAACAAGAAGAAAAAGGATGAGTACCGTACAGTAAGATTTTGAGAGAGCGCACGAGAGAGAGCAGATTCACGTACCTTTTACATTATATTGTTATAATTGTTCCATTTTATTATTAGTTGTCAATAATCTCTTACTCCACCGAACTGATACATTATCATAGGTATATAGGAAAAACTAGTAGTCATGCATCCCTCAATGACAAGAATACGTTCTAAGAAATGCTTCATTAGGCGGTTTCATCGTTGTAGCAACATCCTAGAGTATCCTTAAACCCATGGTCCGGCCTACTGCAAACGTAGGCTGTGCGGTATACCGTGTTGCTCCTAGGCTACAAATCTGTCCAGCACGTTGCTGTATTGAATGCCGTAGGCAATTGTAATGCAATAGTATTTGCTTATTTAAATGGGTCTCAACATAGAACAAGTAATGAGTTGCACCACAGTGTTATGATGGCTACGAGGCCATCAGGAGAAAGTGATCGAAAATTTTCATCTCCGTTATAATGTAATGGGACCGCCATAGTATGCGTGGTTTGTTGTTGACCAAAGCATCATTACGTGCAAGTACCTTTATATATGGAATTCAGTACTGTCCTTGGTATCAAGCATCTACTGGAGATCTTGGAAGGCAACCCCCCCAGATAAGGGGGGGGCTACTGTACTTGTTTCCCTAATGACTGGCTAATAGTTCTCAATATATGCTTGTTGAATAAATGAATGTCATTTTTTGACTTACTCACAGTGCTTTCTATTCTATTGCTACTCTGTATGCTTGCTTGTTAAAGGTGAGGTTTGCTGGAGTGCTATGGTGCAATCTTGGCTCACTCCAACCTCCACCTCCCCGGTTCAAGCGATTCTCCTTCCTTAGCCTCCCAAGTAGCTGGAATTACAGGTATGCGCTACCATGCCTGGCTAATTTTGTATTTTTTTTTAGTAGCAACAGGGTTTCTCCATGTTGGTCAGGCTGGTCTCGAACTCCTGACCTCAGGTGATCTGCCTGCCTTGGCATTCCATAGTGCTGGAATCACAGGTGTGACCCATTGAGCCCAGGCTAAAGGTGAGATTTAGTTTAGTTTATTTATTTATTTTTGAGACAGAGTCTTCCTTTGTTGCCCAGGCTGCAGTGCAGTGGTACGATCTTGGCTCACTGCAACCTCCGCCTCCTGGGTTCAAGTGATTGTTGTGCTTCAGCTGGGATTACAGGTGCCAGCCAACATGCCTGGCTGATTTTTTATTTTTAGTAAAGACAAGGTTTCATTATGTTGCCCAGGCTGGTCTTGAACTCCTAAGCTTAAGTGATCTGCCCACCTTGACCTCCCAAAGCGCTGGAATTACAATAGGTGAGGGGTGTGTGTGTGTGTGTGTGTGTTGTGTGTGTTGTGTGTGTGTTTTGAGATGAAATCTCTCTGTCATCCAAGCTAGAGTACAGTGGTGTGATCTCAGCTCACTGCATTTTCTACCTCCTGGGTTCAAGCAGTTCTCCTGCCTCAATCTCCCAAGTAGCTGGGATTACAGGCACATGCCACCATGCCCAGCTAATTTTTGTATTTTGTTAGTAGAGACTGGCTTTCACCATGTTGGGCAGACTGGTCTCGAACCCCTGACCTCAAGTGATCTGCCTGCTTTGGCCTCCCAAAGTGCTGGGATTAAAGACATGAATCACCACGCCCAGCCAAAAGGTGAGATTTAAGTGAAACTAGTTCCACATTGTCTGTGTAGGTTTGAATAAGGTGATACTTTCTCTTTAGAAATAAAAAGATTGAGGCCCAGGGACGTTGTAACTCACAGACCACAGTCTTACTCCTTTGTCACACTGATATTTCCTTATTTTTCTCAGTAGTTCAGGCTTCCACAGCGTGCGCCATAAGCTATTTCTCCGCCTCTGTACCTGTGGTTTGTTTTACCCATATTATTAAAATAATTAGAAACAAAATTCAAAACCCAACTTCAAAATCAGTGACTCTAACCCCTGAATGTGGTAGAGAGCCCATTAGAATTTGCAACACACCTGGAATATGTATAATATTGGCTGAATAAAACTGTGAAAAATAAAACTTTGGTAAACAAGGGAACTTTGTTATGGGGTTTTGTTTTGTTTTCTTTCTTTCTTTCTTTTTTTTAACTCTTAAAGAAGGCAAAAGTATAGGACTGGACTGAGGATCCCATTGAGCGGTAACCCTGAGAAAGCAGGAAAGTAGTCAAGCAGTCATTGGTAGCGATGGTAGACTTTTCCTTTTGGGGCCAGATAGTAAATATTTTAGGCTTTGTGAGTCACCTACAACCTGTGTAGCTTATTATTTGTTTTGCTTTTTTTTTCAACCCTTTGAAAACGTAAAAAGCATTCTTAGCTCAAGGGCTGTCTGAAAACATGTGGTAGGCTGGATTTGGATCATGGGCCGTGGGGTGCCAACCCCTAATCTAAGCATTGTCTCTTGTTTTTCACATGAAACAATTTTGTTGATGATGAAGTTACTAATTGTTTTTTATTTTTATTTTATCTTAGTGAATTCATCTGTCTACACTATTTACATGGGAAAGGACAAATATGAAAGTAAGTTGTCAAAAGCATTTGGTTTTGAAATTTTCAGCAGGTAAGTGTTGTCACTCACTCACCACCTTCCATGTCCTTACCCAGTTTGTTGGTTCTGAGTTTTTACCTACTTTGATAAACTAGCTTTTGAGAAACAAAACAAGCTCACCCAGTAAAAGGAACTCCAAAGGATTAACTTTCCTAGAATGTCATTATATCAAATAGTATTTGAACTAACTGGCTCATCTGTTGCTGATTAGAAACTTTATAACAAGTATTTTGTTGTTATTTGATTTACGGTAAT